GTGAGGGAGGGGGTGGGAAGGGAGAAGGGAGGAAGACTGGACAGGAATTGGGGGGAGAGAGAACAAGTGGAAAGTCCCTGGAGACACTTCTGGTTTCTCCCCTGCCCAGCTCCCAGCCCTGTGGATGCTGCCTGCCCCAGGAAGGCTGGGGAGGAAGACATGTACGTACAGGGGAGCTTCCAGGACTGCTCCCTCCCAGGACTATGCTTTGGGAGAAAGGAAGCCCTTGCTCAACAGCTCCTCTTTGGCTATTAAGTGCATCGACTTCCATGGCCAGCTGGGCCTGGCCCCTGAGCCTAGCCCCTGGGGCCATCAAAGAGGTGCTCACCCTCCCACTACTGTCTCCATGATTTGATCACCTCATCTCTCCTCTCTTCCTCATTTGTGGAATGGGTATCCTGGGCCTGGCCCCTGAGCCTAGCCCCTGGGGCCATCAAAGAGGTGCTCATCCTCCCACTACTGTCTCCATGATTTGATCACCTCATCTCTCCTCTCTTCCTCATTTGTGGAATGGGTATCCTGCTCCTCCTTCTGCTTCCTGGGAAAGTCTATTCCCTGCCATAGTGAGATGGGTATGGCAGGGGACAGAGCACAAAACCACGGGCTGAGTTACTGTGCATCCGGAGAGATGGGGAGGGGCAGGAAGGATGACAGTTGGGTCCCCACTAGAGTCTTAGATCTTTGTCTTCTAGCTCTGAGCCACAAGAAACCAGCTGGTCAGCAGAGCTGTGGGCTGGTGGGTGTAGGTGGCTACAGGGGGTGGAAAACAGTAGGTGACCCTGATCCCTCCTTGCCTCAGACTCCTACAATCAGCTGTCTCTGGTCTCTGAGCTGGTTCCTTTGCAGACTGTGGAAGGAACTTATGGGGGCTCTTGGACCTCCAAGTGTGATATTTTTATGGAGGTGGTGTGTGGGTACTCAGGAAGAAAATTCACCCTCTAGCTTTGTCTGTCTCTGCTGCCCCTAAAAATACGATGTGATATGGCTAATGAGAAAGATCAGCAGGCCTGACTTGGGATGACCTAATATAGCCTGGCATTCCAGCCCTGACCAGTGCGTAAGCGGGGATTGGTGACTGAAAACACAAAATGTCTCTCTGAGGGGATGGCAGAGAGCCTGCTGCAATCCCTAAGGCGGGGTACACCCTGGGGAGCTGAGCGGAGGCCCCTGGGGACTCTCTGGATTTCCCAGCGTGCATGGGGTTGGGGCCCAACTGAGAGCACCTCTTCAGTCTCTGGCCCACTCTGCCTAGAGGGCCAGCATCAGGTCTCAATGAACCCCTGCAGAGAAGAGCAGTTGGCTTGGCACCCAGGGGTCATCATTTCCACCAACCTGTTCTTAGACAGTAGAGTGGACCAGCTGCTCCTAACCTGGCCCTGGGAACATGCTGGCTGGGCTGGTTTGGGCCCGACATGAAATTCCTGAGAGCTCTGGTCCAGTCCTCCCACCTCAGACAGAGGGGTGACTCCGACCTCGAGTGCGTTATGTCACAGTGGCTGGTTCCTCTCTTCCTTTGCCTTCTGCATGGGCACAGACCCGTGGGTCAGCTGAGACACAGATCTCCTGTGATGTTACTCTGTGCTGACTTGTGACTCAAGTCTGCGGAAAAAAGGGGACAGAACATGGGACAGGAGAAACAAGATGGAGGGCGAGGATGGATTCTCAGGGCCACCTCAGAGGGTGATCAACTTCTCTGCCTCACACTTTCCTTGTGGCACGGCAACTCTCAAATCCCAGGAAACTTCTCATGCAGTAAGAACCGGGATGGGTGGCCATCAGAAGCCCTGAGGTCTGCTCCTCAGAGAGGCCCAGTGAGCATCTGCCCTGGGTACCAGGTGACTCACCCCTGGGTTCAGTGCTGCCAGCTGGCAGAACTAGGACCTGGATTTAAGTCCAGGGCTCCTTGGCTGCAGGCTGCACGTCTCAGGTCATTTCATGAGGTGGGATATTCTCTCCCATGGTCTTGGCCAAGATCTTTCCTCAGGAAGAAAGTGATGGTGAAATAATACAAAGAAGGAGGAGAGGGGACAACTGGTCAACTTCGGGGGATCAAAGAATAAGAGGCTGCAGTCACGCTGGCTCAGGGCTGTGGGATCTTACGAGAGGAAAGGTTTAATGTCTGCCCCTAAGGATTTGGCACTTTGCTTAGGAAAATGTGGCAGGCTTACCTGTGGATACCGGACTCAGGTGCCACTCTGTACCACCTACACACACGTTCCAGGGAACAATAGGTAAAGGGTGTGGCTTATCAAGATTGCATTACTCTCACTTCTCTTTAAAGGATGTGTTTGTTCAAGAAATATTTATTGACTGATTTATTGACTATTTGTTCTTAAACAGATTGTTCCCCCTCTTGGGAACACATTCTTCTCTCCTTTTATCTCCTTTCACCCCACATCCCAATTCTCTCCATACTTCAGGATTCAGCTTAATATGCAATATTTATTGACCCCTCAGGAAGAAGCAGGTGTATTTTCATCACTTTGCTTTGCTTTAATTAGAACTCATTTAACCCCCACGTAAACTGTGTGACTATTTGACAGATGAGGAAACTGAGAGGTAGGCTGGCTTGCCCAAGGACACAAGACTCTCTGCTGTCAGGGTGGGCGGTAGCCTGGCAGGAAGGATTTCCTGATCCTCATCTCCCTGCTCCCAGAACCCCTGTGGCTAGTCCCAGTGGGAGCATTCGTCACAGAGTTATGTGATCCCAGTCTCCTTGTTTGTTTCCTCTCTTAAACCAAGTCCTTGGAGGACAGGGCTCTTCTCTCTAGGCATCTAGAAGAAGCTCAGCCTCTACTTGTCGAGTGAATGAGTCAATGAACTGATGGATGAATGAATGATTGGCTTCAGTGGCTGTAGGAGCTCTGGGCTCAGGGTCCTCAGTGACGACTTCCGCTTTGCACGGTATTACCTCTGCAGTCCCGAGCCAAGGGGCTCTTGATGGCACACCCTCCTTTCTGGAGTGACAGTATAACTGTGAGATTGAGGAAAAGCTGATGTTTAAGCATGAAAGCAAATTTGAACTTTTTTGCGGGGGGAGTAGAGTGAGATCTTTTCAATAATTCTTAGGGTCAAACTGACATTTGGAGGACATTCATGGTCATCCAAAGGTAAGTCTCAGATCTCACTTCCTCTTCTTCACATCTCCTCCCCCATTGCCAATTCTCCTCTTCTGTTGGGAGTACTTTGGGTAAACGGATTTGGAAACGCTACTAGGGGAAGTTTCTGGAACTCAGAATATGGGACAATCAACTCTGCCAGGGTCAAAGGGAACAAAAGCATTCCAAGGAGGGGCACAGGTGGCAGTCTGTCCCCAGCTGGGTGGGGAGCCAGTCACTGTGAACGGTTCTGAACGTGCAAGTAGCTGTTGTAACAAACGCTTCACGGCCGCATCCTGGAGTACCACCACGGCTGAGTGGAAAACCTCACACTATTTTTAGACCCATTAACTCCAGAAAATGCCATCTCTTTTCCTTTTTACAAGCCAATTCCTTGTTGATCTTGCCCAGTCTGGAAATTTTGTGCTCCTTTTTAGCTCGGTGGGACCAATCGTCAGTGGGGTGGAGTCTCTCTGTCTCTTTCTATTTTCATATCTCGTGTCACTGTTCACATGGGAAAAATCATGACATTTCCCCACGCTGGGGCCCTGAGTAACCTGGTTCTGTGTTTTGGGAATGGGATTGCTCTGGGTCCCATGGGGGCAGATGCTAATGAAGGGCCTGGGACTCCAGGTACCTGAAGTTGGCATGGCTGGGACTCAGCACCCACCTTGTTAATTTCAGAAAGTATTTCCAAGGAGAAGAGGAGGAACTTAGAGAGGAGCATGGAGCCAAGAGGGGCAACGTTCTCCACCGGAGGAATTCATGTAGTTTGGCAGGAATGGTGGGAGACACTGTCAGCCATGATCCCTTGAAGTTTACAAAATGCTTTCCAGCCTTGAGCTCTTTGGATGCCCAAGCACCTCAGGGAGATGGGGTGGGCAGAAGAAATCCTCCCCATCCTACAACTGAGGAAATAGATTGGGGTGGGAAGATGGTCCCAGGCCTGGTGGAACTAGGAAGTAATAGGGCCGGGATTGCAGTCCAACACCAGAGGGGATAGTGACCAATGTGATGGGCTAGGAGTCCAGAGAAAGATGGGTATGCATTACTTTTCTCTATTTACTGGTGGAGGATCTGCACAGTCATTGTCTTCCCTGAGCCTCAGTGTCCTCAGCTGTAAATTGGGGATAATAACCTCTTCTAGGCTGGGCAGCACTCAATAATGTATACTAAGTGTGAATTCCGGACTTGGTATGTAGTAAGTGCTCAGTAAGTGACTATTGTCAGTAATATTAGTAATATTCTTTCTCACCGCCAGTAGGTCATCTCTTACTGTATGTTGCCAAGTCTTCCCTCCTTCCCTTGCTGGAGGGCCTCTCTCTGTTGTATCTTTCAACATGTCGTCAAAGAAGTTGGTAGGGGGTACTACGAATTCTTTAAATATTCATGTCACATGCAGCCAGATCAATGTTTATAGCAGCTCAATTCATAATAGGTAAACTATAGAACCAACCTAGATGTCCTTCAGAGGATGAATGGATAAAGAAAATGTGGTACATATATACAATGGAATATTACTTGGCCTCAAAGAAGAATGAAATTATGGAATTTGTAGGCAAAAAATGGAACTAGAGAACATCATGCTAAGTGAAATAAGTCAATCCCCCCAAACCAAAGGCAGAATGTTCTCTCTGATAAGCGGATGCTGATCCATAGTGCCGGGGAGGTAGGGAAGAATGAAGGAACTTTGGATTGTGCAGAGAGGAGTGGGGGCTGGTATGGGGTTGGGAAGGACCGTGCAATGAGACGGAGATTATTACCCTATATACATATATGATTACACCACTGGTGTGACTCTGCACCATGTTCAGCCAGAGGAAGGAGAAGTTGTGCTCCATTTGTGTACAATGTGTCAAAATGCATTCAACTGTCACGTATAACTAATTAGAACAAATTTAAAAATAAAATAAAATAATAAAAAAATGTTCATGTCACGGGCAGGTGCCTTCCCTGCTTCGTTCTGGAGCTGCATAGGGACAGCCTTTGTCCTTTCAGCAGTGGAAATCATGAGGAGAGGTGACTGCCATGGCTGGAGTCTGGCCTGGAATCCTCCAGAAAATGGTTAGTATTTGTGAGTCTGGGTTTCTAAGAAGGGAGTTATCTCAGTGCCTCAGTAACCCGGAGTGGTGGGCAGGTGGGCAGGCATCTAGAGCCATCTATAAGGGACACGAAAACATGGAGGGGATGTTTGTCCAAGTTGCCTTCAGGGAAGTTTCATGAAGTTGGAAGATCTTTCTTGGATAAGCTGTTTGGGCTGTGGCACGATCTCTCAGGTGGTGGGTCAGAGCCCAGGATGGTTCCTAAAGGAGAGGAAGGCCACTAGCTGGCGGGCTTTGGGATTTCTGGGTATGTTTGGAGCCAAAGCTGCATAGTGTGGGGCATTGATTGAGGACGACCATCCGAGGTCCTCTCTGATCTCTGGATTCAGGGGAGGTTATTATTTAAGGGGTATCTATCTGTTTGCCAGCTTGGGATCACTACACCCTCCGACCAGTTCTGCTTGGCATCTGCCAGGGCAGCAAAGACCTTGGGGCCCTAAGCGCTGCTGGTATGGCCACTTGGGGGGCCCTTGGTGAGGTAATCCAGAACCTCCCCACCCTCCCTGGCATGCATGGATCTGTCCACAGGGAGTCTGGCAGGACATCAGAGCTGACGAGAGAGGAAGGCAGAGCAGGCATCAGGCACATGATGTCCTGCTTTTGTTATTACTGTGCGTCCTTCCTTAGCTTGGGATTGCTGGTGTGAGTATTTGGCAGATTTGTAGGAACCTCCCAAGGTGATGTGAAGTTCTGGGGCTGAGTTGGTCCCACCAAGATGAAGATAACCCTTGTGAGGAATTCAGGTGGCTAGGAGGTAGGTGTTGGGCAGTGAGTGTGTCCCAGGAGGGTGCTTGGCCCAATTCCTTCCATTCTAACACTACAATATCTGCTTATCATGTCAGGGACCACGGTTGGGTGGCCAGGTCCTTTGACCTGGTCTGTAGTTGGAGGTGGTGAGCCAGGGCTCTGATGACAGCTAGCAGGTGCTGAGCCCCTACTGTGTGCCAGTGACCTTGTGAGGTGGCTCCTACTGTACACAGTCACAATCTACCTAACAAGCCTGCAAAGTTGGCCTTGGAGTCCCCATTTTACAGAGGGGGAAACTGAGAGTGGGGTTCCAGATTCATTCCTGAGTTGGCCGAGGATCTTACCTTCGTCCCATGGATGTCTTACAGTTCTGAGAGCCGTAGTGGATGAGTTTCCCATTTTATGGCATGGTGGGGTCTTAGCAGGATTTTCTCTGAGGGCTTCTGGTTGGGTTTCCTTTGTGGGTCAGGGAATACCAGGCCACTAGACCCTGGCTGGTGTTAGGTGTGGGAGCTGGGTTCCTGTCCCCTGCCTGACGTTGGACTCTCAGCCTGTTGGAGATCACTCATAGCATCTTGGGGCTCTGCCCACTGAGATGAAAGGAAGTGAATAGATAATGATATGTGGTACCATACCAAGGAAAGGGGAGTCATACTTGAGGAATGAGTGGAACCCCTTTTCTAAGCACCTTGCAGGCTGCCCTAAATCAGAGGTTTGATCTTGGAGACCCCAAAGGTCAATGTTTCTTTCCTTCTGCTTTCTTAGTTGGGTCTATGAGGTGGGAGAAGGAAATATAGGCCTGGGCAGAGGTCAAGTACAGGGAAGGCATAGCAAAGCCCAGTGTGGGAGGCTAAAGGGCACTGGAGCAAGAGCACAAAGCTGGGACCTTTCAGGAACTGGAGTGCTGCTGTCATTCTGGGATTCCTGACTGGGGAAGGGAAGGAGGGAACAAGGTCAGATGGATTCTCACCCCTTTCCAAGCCAGGGGCACAGCTGCCTTGTCGGGCCAGACCAGGAATACGGCTGCCCTGGCCCTTTGGGAATTCCAACTTGATTGTTTTCATTAGACTTTGCAACCCTTTTCTTTCTGCAGGTATGAGTGGAAACTGGAAGGCAAAACCTGTGGGGCAAGGCCTCAGGAATTGCTTATAGTTTCCAAGTGTACGGTGGAGTGACAGGGTTAGAATGATTACTCTATGATTCTGCTGTGTTGTGGGATAATTAGGCTCAAATGCCAGTACCCCCCTTATAAATTGCACTTTCTGAAGGCTAAGAACTTGGTTCTTCCCTGTCAACTTTTTGTATTTATTTTGAATATTATTTCTCTGGAAATTTTACATTAAACTTACCTAGCTGAAGTTACTCGTTAGGCTTTATTTCCCTGGGGTAAGAACAGAAAACCTGTTTCATTCCATGTGTCATCTCAGCTAAATGGTGGTGGCCACCTTGAGTTGCATGCTGGGGGAAAAAAAAAATCAGTGACCAAGACCAGACTCAGCAGGAAATAATGATGTGATTACTCAGCAATCCCTGCTGTGGGTATGGGAAGAGAAGTGTGGACACTTGTGCCATCCCCTGTTTTGGGGATTCAATGTCCTCATTCCTGCCTGCTAATCTGTAGTCACCAGATCTTTACAATAAAAGGTTCGTTCCCATTATAAATCCCCTCTTCTGACCTAATCTTGTTCTAACATTTTTTTTTTTTGCCTCAGAGGCTTTTATCCAAAAGTATTTTTTTTTACTAATTCATACATCAATTAATTCAGCAAACATTTTTGTCAAATGCCAAGGAAAAGTAATTATTTCTACAATATATTCAATACCATTTTAGTCAATTCCTCTAACCTGAAAAATTCTGACAGCCATATTTTTGAGAATTTGATGACTCTTTTTAAACTCTTTAGAAAGAAGACTGCCAGATGTATTGCTGTGTTCACATATGTGCATGCATATGCGAATAAAGTAATTAAATGATCCTTAGGTAGTTTGCAAAAAATAAAAATAAAGATAAAAAAATAAATGAAAATAAAAGGTTCGTTTTCCTCTCCAGGGTCCAATATGCCATGCCCTGCATAGTGTCTTACACACTCCAGAATGGTCGAACCTCCAGCTAGCTTCCAGAGGGAACTTCCTACAGAATGACATAACCAGTTCCTGCTGCCTCCAGCAACACAGGTGATGTTTCAAAATCAGAGCCTGATTTTCCTCCCTGGTCTCACGGGTGATATTCCTGCCCGTGTGCCTGATTGTCTAAGCATGTCCAACTTTTTCTCACTGTCCTGAATTCACAGTGCCTTTTCCTATCTCCTTGCATTTGCATCTGCTGTCCCCTTTGCCTGGAACATCTCTTATCTTTTTTCCCAGCTCACAGGTCACTTCCTCTTTGTGAAGTCTTACCTGAAGTCTCCAGACCATTAGTGCCTCTGTCATCTGTTTTACCAGTTTTCTGTTCATGTCTCCATCATAGCCCGTCCCATGTATGGACTGACAGCCAAGGACACAGTGAGTTAGTTCCCACTAGACCATCGGCTACGGAAGTTGGGGACCACCGTGTGACCCTACAGCAGCATGGCACTGTCCCTGCTCTCGGAAGGAGCTCTGGGAAGGTTTGCTGAGTGAACCTCTGTGAGAAGGAATAAACTCTAGGATGTGCTGCTGCAAAGTGACTTGAATTTTGATTCCCATTCGTTGGAGCTTGCCAAGGACGCGGCTTAAATCACCTTGTCGTAATGGGAGAAGAGGAGGAAGAGCAATGATTAAATGTGCCTGATAAAACTCTATTTCATGTTTGGAATAAAAAAAGGGAAGGTTGAGATAAAACGGTGCTTGTTCCAGAGCTGGCTTTTCCAGTTGGGGCCACGTCTCTAATCCTTTCTGGAGGAGCTGGGGGAGGGGAAGGTGGCACCAAACTAGGTACTGTCACGAAGGGCAGGGTTGGGGGCAAAAGGGCAGAGGTTGGAGAAGCCATTGCCATGGTGGGGGGTTCACAGAGGAGCAGCTCAAGTCCAACCTTGAGGGCAGGGTAGGGGTTCATTGGGTGGGGAGGCTTTTCCAGGCAAAGAACAGCACATGCAGGCCGTGAGCCCCTCAGAGACTGCGGGAGCCTCCCTCTACTCCTTCCTCTGCCGAGCCCCAAGTCTAGGGCTGAACTCCAGCAACATGAGGGGTTTGTTGGCCTGTTCATTTCACTTTTCCTCGGTGGCCTGTTGTGCATCTGTGAATGTGCAATGTGGCACCTTTTGGAGGTGACTGACAGAGCTGGCTGTGGCCCTGTCTAATCCTCCCCCTCTGACTAATGGGCAAGACAGGGAGGAGGGGTCTTCATCCACTTTAACTGCTACAGCGAATCACCAGGCCAGGTGATTCATAGAGAACAGAAGTCTCTTTGGCTCTTGGTGCTGGAGGCTGGGAAGTTCGAGAGAATGGAGCCAGCCTCTGTGTCTGCTTGCTGCATTGTGACGTGGAGGGGGACGTCACATGGTGAGACCAAGAAAGTGTGCCAGAGAGAGCTCCTGTGTAGCAAAGCCTCTCCTGCGATAACCTTTAATCCATTCATCCATGGGTACATGAATCTGCATGACCTGACCACCCCCAAAGGTCCCACCGCTCAACACTGCTGTAAGACCAAGTTTCCTACATGTGAACTTTGGGGGAACATGTTCAGACCACAGCAGAGGTTGACCCCTCACAAAGCCACCATTGCAGCCCTCTATCCATCCCACCTCATAACCAGGCCAGGTGGATCTGAGGACCTCAGAAGGTGCAGCCATGGTGGGAGGCTGCTCATGGGCCTCCTGGGGCCAGCATGCATGGGAGGAGGAGGCCAGGCCATGCCCAGCATTCACAGGGCCCTTCCTCTATCTCTCCTCATAGGTCTGAGCAGGCTGCGGTGGCCTCATTGGGCTGAGGAACACAGCCCACCCGTTTGGCCCCCACGGCAAGAAGGACTCCCTTTCCTCTCTGTCATAACTGTCACCTTCTCCTGACCCTGACTGAAGCTGGGCACCTGGCACCACACCCTGGCATTTACATATTCCCTGTGCTCAGAGCTCCATAGAGGAGACCAATAGTGAGAGTCAAATAATGCACAATTGGCATTAATCTAATGCTGTTTGGGAAACAGATAAATATGTGCTCAGAAAATTGTGCAAAACAAGTCTCAGTCTTAAGTAATTTGGCCTAACTAAAAGGTTTGCCAGGCTCCATTCTCCTAAATTATGCTTTGCAGCAGTGCTGTCCAGTGCAAATATGACTGAGCCATATTTTTAATTTAAAATTTTCTAGTAGTTGCATTAAGAAAAATAAAAAGAAACAGGTAAATTAATCTGAATAATGCATTTTATTGAATCCAATATATCTAAAAATCTTATCCTTTCAGCTTGTAATTAACATTTTTTTTTCCTTTCAGGACTGGGATGGAACCCAGGGCCTCACACATGCTGGGCAAGTGCT